ACACTAATATATTCTATAGTAACAAGTGTCTAAAAACACTTAATAAGATTATGCAAATTGAAATTGATAAAGTTGCTGAATGGTTAAATGCGAATAAGTTATCTCTAAATACTACAAAAACAAAAGTAATATTATTCCGATCTTCAAATAAAAAACCAAAGCAAGACATTAAAATTAACATTAATGGTAATAATATTGAACAAGTTAAAAATACAGTATTCCTTGGTATTGTCATTGACGAATGTTTGACCTGGAAAGATCATATAGCTAAGGTAGCAAACAAATTAATTAGAGCTGCTGGTATAATAGCTAAAATACGACATTTCGTGAACCGAAATACTGTAAAACTGATATACTATGCATTAGTCTATCCATACTTGATTTACGGCAACCTAACATGGGGTAATACTTACAAAAACAGAATTCAAAAAATAATGAATATACAAAAAAAATAGTGCGTTTAATGGCATTCAAATCTTACTTTGATCACAGTGAACCAATTTTCAAAGATTTAAATATCCTCAACATCTTCAAAATCAACGACTATTTAACTGCTTTATTTATGTTTCGATACCACCATCTTAATAATTTACCAGAATTTTTTAAAGATTATTTTGTGACAAACAACCAAATTCATCAATATAACACGAGAAATGCATCAAAACTTCACAAATGTTATAAAAGAACAAATTATGTAGAACACACTCTCTCAAATAAAGGAGTTGACGTATGGAATTCATTAGAAACAAAATTTATAGATATAAATTTCTACAGCACTTTCAAAAAGCAAATTAAACAATATTTTTTACTATACAATGTATAAGATATGCTATAAAACATTCTGCTATGACAAATTTAATAGTATATTGTAGTCTAATTCTTATAAGAACCCAAATGCATCTACAACATTGGTATTCACTTCTATAATAAGAACAATTTCTCTTCTTTTTCTCTCTTGTAAATATTCACTTCTATAATAAGAACAATTTCTCTTCTTTTTCTCTCTTGTAAATATATATATATATATATATATATATATATATATATATATATATATATATATATATATATATATATATATATATATATATATATATATATATATATATATATTCCTTTAATATTGTGATTGACTGTAAATAATTTATTACATAACACAATACAAACTAGCATAACTAGAGACCTAAATAAAAAGTCTACTAAGATTTCTAGTAGGTCTCTAGCCCGCACTCTACAATTATTGTAAATATACTACACATAAATTTATTGTACATGGGGAAAAAAATTTTAAAATAAATAAAAGAAGATTTAGTATTATGATAAAGTTTGAACGTAAACTGTCGTAAAGTACATAAAGTGATGTTTTGATCTAGACATCCTGTATATACTTCTGGAAGCTTTTGGACTTCCCCTTTTGTCTCTGCCTCGCGTCTCTGAAACGAAGAAAGTGCGTAGCTGCGCAACCGACTTCATTTGGATTTAATTTGGCAATTACAGATCACATTGTCACGGTATGGTAATATTTTTCCTGTTTTTGTCCATCGAAAATGCGGAAGTTGGCTCAGTATAGCAAGCGTTTCCTGTACGCTACAAGCACATGTCATTTTACACGCTCAATATATATTGTGGTTTTACTAAGATAGTTGATTCAATAAACGTGTTGAAGAGTGTGTGTACTCTGTCTGTTTTGCTATCGTGCTGTTAGCAGCTGGCTCTTTGATTGTGTACTGAAGCTTTGGAAGAGAAAATGCAATTTAATTAAGTAGACCGAAATTGGGTACAGGCAAACTTATTAATCATAGCTACTCAGTGGGCTATAAGTTCAATTATTTAAACGCGTGAATAGATTGAAGCACTCGAGAGGCATTTCAGAAGAATTCGAAGTATTACTGTGTTTTGCAGTCAAACAATTGTTAGAGAAGTTGAAAGAGTGTGTTTTCGAAATGCTGGGTGATTTCACGCAAACTAATATCTCGATAAACGATACGAACAGCTCTATTGGTGGAAATGACACTGATAATGCTATCTACAACAAGATATCGGCTGCCCCACTTTTCCTATCGATCTACGCTATCATATTTATATTTGCGGTTGGTGGGAATTGTCTGGTGATCTGGATTGTCGCGACCAATCGTAAAATGCACGAAGTCACCATCAACTACCTGCTGGTCAATCTGGCTCTTGCTGACCTCATTCAAACATTGTCTAGCATTTTCCAAGTTGTTGATTTTGTTGTGAAAGATTTAGATATCGGTGAGTATAACTGGAATTTGTGCAAATTAGAAAATTAAAATTCATTAAGTTAAAATTCATGATCATTCTCATAATTGTTCTTCCTTTCTTGGAACGGATATTCGAATACAGGTTTACTTAAGGTAAATTCAGCGTTTCTTTTAGAAGTCATCAATATGTCAGACATCATTGTCTACGCCGAGCAATTATTTATCGTATGATTAACTAAGTACAAAATAAACTCTTTTTAACTCTGATAGATTTTCTGTTCAAGTGTTGAACATAGGAAACACTGGGCTTGAAAATATCGTTATAGAATCTGAGTTTTGTGGCTGCAGAGATTAAGTCAGTTTATTGAGTGTCTCACTCATAGTGGTGAGCGGATTTCCCAACATGAGAGTGATGAGATTATTGCTCAATCCGAGGTACCTACGATTTTAACGTCCGCATCCAAGAAGACGCGAAAGTCTAACTCCATTTACAGATGTCAATGTAAAGGTATCACTTTCTCCTCAATTATTTTAAGACCTTGAATACTACTAGATGTTCAATGTTCAAAGTCACTATACTCTATAGTATTTATCATCATAAAGTACTTTGAAAAAAAACTTCATTTTCTCGAATGAACGATTCCCATGCATGTCGATACATTCCATACTTCGATACGTATAATATACTTGAAAGAAAACTTCAGTATATTGATTTTAATATAAAGTAGCTCTCTAGATTATCACTTTATACTGCAAAATATATTAGGGTTACGTTCTCACAAGACTCATTTGGAACTGTTTTGCCAATTCGCACGTGATTTGCAACGAATTTGCGTTCTAAGCGAAGACGAACTATAAGTAAGCCGATCTTTGTAAGCGCTTTTCAAGCTATAGTTATTGTCCTTTGTCCCCTTTTAAATAGAACATTTTTCAATTTATCAAACCCAAGTGTGTCTTATATTCAACATGCACTTGTATTTGTTTGACCCTTGTGTTTTTAATCAGCCATGTAAATAGTCATATGACTTGGCTTATTAATTGCTGGGCGTTCCGGATTATGGCTCAAAGAATGCGTTTAAGTTGCTTAACTTCCAAATCCGTTCCAAGAAATATGGGAAGAGACGCTTCGAATGATTTCCTGCCATTAAAACTGAACTCTATCAGGTCTAATTAAATTGCTCCCCTATAGGTCATGTAAATACTGGATAGCTCTATCAGTTCTAAACTGTTCTTCCTAGAGGCATGGGCGTACCGGAAGGAAAAAATCAGGGGGGGGCGGAAAGAAATTTGCCCGACTTTTCGGGATTGTGCCCGACTAGTACCTAAAAAATTTTTCCGGAAAAATTATTTCGGCGACCTCTCCCCCCCCCCGTCGCCAAAAACTTTTCGGTCAGTGTACCATTTTAGGGGTCCAAAAAATTTTCCGGACATACCAAAATTTTTCGGAACATCAAACAAATTTTCAAAAAAAAAAAAATTTACAACAAAATTGACTGAATTTTCGACTAAGTTTACATAATTTGTCCCATTTTTTTTTTTATTACAAACCAAAATTGCCCGACTGTTGATCGAATATTGCCCGACTGCCCAAAAAACTGGGGGGGGGGCTACCGCCCCCCCCCCGCCCGGTACGCCTATGCTTAGAGGTCAAGTAAGAATTATCTCTTATTGATCCAGTGTTACTACAGGAGGAAACCTAAACTAAACTAACTTTATTTATACTGGATAGCTATATCAGTTCTAAACTGTTCTTCTTAGAGGTCCAGTAAGGATCAATGGATCATCTCTTACAGTATTGATCCAGTGTTAATACAGGAGGAAACCTAAACTAACTTTGTTTATGCTGAATAATTCTATCAGTTCTAAATTGCTCACACAAATTTGAATGAGACAACTGCTTGTGACAGAAATCATAGTCCCGTACATTTGTTGTCAGAGGTTATGAGTTATTTTCTGAATTTATTTCCAGGTGATGTTGGATGTAAGTTCCAGATCAACATGTACAATATTCCATACGGCGCTTCAGTTCTTACTCTCATCTTCATAGCTTACGAGCGCTACTGTGCTGTGTGCAAACCTGTCTACTTCAATGAATTTAAACAAAAAATACGCTGGTTTGTGCCTCTATTATGGCTCGCAAGCGTATGTATCTATATACCCACTATCACTTACTGTGGGTCACGAATGGACAAGAAGAAAAATCAATTGACTTGTGACTGTAAAGAACGCTGGCCCAGTCTAAGAGCCAAGAATATTTATGGCATAGGCCTGGTGATGGTTTTGTATGTGATACCGCTGGTCGTTATTTCCAGACTGTATTTTGTAGTGATCCGCAGGCTCAGGCGGTCCATACCCGGAGAGCATCATGGGACGGATACGACGTATCAGTCGCGGCAAGGTGTTGTGAAGATGTTACTGGTTACCGTCGTGTTATTTTTTGTATCATGGACACCGTACAACGTGTTGTATTTCTTAAAGAGAATTGAGTATGATTATCGAGGGATATATACGTAAGTAATATAATTTTTGACTTGTCGTAATGCTGTTCCAACAAGGCTTGTCATCAGGATGTGTTCGCACTGCTTGTTCCAGCTTGTTGACAACGGTCCTCAACGGCTTGTTGACAACTCGCTACAAGGTTGTTAAGCTCAACAGACTTGTGACAAGTTGTTCCAGCAACTTGTTATCGTCCTGCAATTCAACAATTTGTCTACAAGTTGTGAGTGACAACCTTGTAGCAACTTGATAAAATAACAGCATTGTTACAACTTGTTGACAAGCTTACTCTTGACAAGCCTGTTGCGAACACATCTTGTTGAGAAGTTGTGAGGTTTTTACGTGCAGTATATAACATTATCATGACAACTGAAATTATTTTATTTATTTGTAGGTACGTGTGGTATCCTGCGTTACTCTTGGCCTTCATAAGCTGCGCGTACAATCCCGTTATATATTGTTTCTTAAGTAAGAACTTTCGTAAAGCTTTCAAGTCCATTTTGTGTTGTGTCAAACTACCCAATATATTGAGAGTTTCCTCGAGTGGGACGCCGATGACTCCTCGGCGGACTGTACGAACTAATATTGCTACTGATCATGATGTATGATTGTACCGCCTTCAATGATACGATAATACAACAACGTGTGTAAGCTTAACTGTGTACCGTTGCCTGTTTCTTCGTTGGGAAGAACGATGTCAATTTAAAGACACAAATACATCACACGCGTTAGAGTCAGACCATTACGCACAAGTTGTAACAAGTCTGCAAACAAGTTGTTACAAGTCGCACTGCTTGTTCCCAGTTTGTTGTAACAAGTTTGAAACAAGCTGTTAACAACTTGTAACAAGCTTGATGACATTATCAGCCTTGTTACAAGACTGTGCTAACAAGTTTGTTACAGCCATGATATAACAAGAATGTTACAAGGCTGTCAACACAAGGTTGTAACAATCTTGTTATATCAAGCATGTATAACGGACTTGTCAGAACAACCTTGCAACAAGTCTGATAATTTCGACAAGGTTGTTACAAGTTGTCAACAAGTTGTTCCAAACCTGTTGCCAACTTGTGACAAGCAGTGCGAACACATCTTGTTGACGGCTTGTTGGCAGACTTGTTACAAGATGCATTTGAGATTTTTATGTGTGTAGAAGGGTTTTGTACTAGATAGAAAGTTGAAATGTAAAAAAAATGAAAAAACAAGCGCGCTCTTCTTTCGTGATATACTTGTACAACAACACGGATTTTTGTAAGGTTGCATATTTGCACAGCCGAGCGACTTAACTATTGAAAGGGGTTTTAATAGTCGCTCAACAAGGAAATCCATGTCAGAATTCCATATCATATTTCATACCCGGAACTACACAGTCATAACTTACATAAACTTATTTTACAGTTTCTCATCAATCTTGATTAAACAAGCAGCATTGTGACAGCATTCACTTTATTTCATACATAAAGTAAATATATTATTTACAACTTTTTTTTAATAAACGGTATCATATAGACCTAATCTCTTTATTTTAAACAGCAGTGATATATGTTTTGCCGGCTTTGTTTAAGAAATGCAATATTGAACGTGGAATTTCAATGTTTTTCCCATCTTTTTTGAATGTCCATATAGGGGCCTACTGTTATGTGTGTAAAGAAAATTGTAGACGGCAGGATTGTGTGTGCTATGGATTATTAATAAAAAAGACTTCGTCCTATTAACTTTAATATTTTGTTAATCGATCAAGATGAATTTCATATGATAAGGAAATGCGGCAATGACCTCATATATCATATACTACAATTGTGTCAATTAAGCACAAATTGACAAATTATATAAATTTTCAATTTCAATTTCATGAATATATTTACTGGCGTGTCTGTCGCCATACAGGCGTCTTGATAAACTGGGAACATATTTGCTTTGGAAACAGATTGCGTCTGCATGGTTTTACCATACAACGAAGCGGTTTACCTTCCCGGAAACTCCCTTGATAAGCTTCTGTGATGCAATAAGCTGTGGTATTCATTCACAAGAGAGCATTCAACACGTTCAGTCTATTACTGGACGAAGCGTGCGCACAGAATTAAAATTGGAATAGAACTTTTACAACGATGCAAATTTTGACAAACTGTACCGCGAATTGTTCAACTAGAACTTTGAACAATACTAAACCAGAAGTATATAATAAACTGTTTGCCGTGGGTATATTTCTCACTATCTATGCAGTGTTTTTACTCTTTGCTGTCGTGGGGAATGGGTTAGTTTGCTGGATCGTCTTGACAAATCGTCGAATGCACGACTCTACGAATATTCTCCTCGTCAATCTGGCTCTAAGCGATCTACTCTTGGCACTGGCGACCACGTTTCAAGTCGCTGACCTGGTTGTGAAGGATTTAAATCTTGGTGAGTTTTTTTTAATATTTAGTGTTTTATTTACTTTAAAATTCAATCCACTAAAACGCTTTGTAGTTCTTGAGTTTCAATATTCAAATAGGAATTTTTATGTGATATGTCAGTATTGAGAACATGCACTTTAAAGTTAAAACACACTTGGCGACGTCTCGTATTTCAACGTAGTTAAGAACTCACACGGAGATACATTATAAATTAATTAAGTTATGGTTTATGAACGTCTTCAAAAACTAAAAAATAGAGTGGTTAGACTGATTAGGAATTTCAAAAATGAATCTGGTCAGTCTATTTTGGCTTGTAATGCTCTTGCATGGTTGGATATAGCTCGAGGAACGCAAGACGCAAATGAAAGCAAGGATCATGTACTAAACTGTCAATCATTAGCCCCTCAAAGACTGTATCACACTTCAAAATTCGAACACAATAAATTATTACAATTTAAAGGGTTCTTCGACTAGGATTTTTATTCCCAGGCCTAGGACATAACTCAGTTATAGTGGGGCTTAATTATGGAATCAGATACCGGATGAAATAAGAAATTCGGTATTTTAGGATTCGTTTTGCAAAAATCTATTTCCTCGACCTATTGTTTGTCCAGATTAAATATATTGTTTAGTTAATATAGAATATCATATGTTGGAAATAAATACTATAGTAATATTTAAATAAGTTTATTATATAATTTTGTAACATTATATACAGCACATCTCTTTTGGAAATCAACTGTATGTTGATAAGATTATATAGTGTGTTCGGGTGTGTTTAAATAAACTTGATGATCATCATCTAGACTTCATCTTTGATATCATTAAGTGACGTGATGATATGATCAGAATTACGTTAAGAATACCGAACATAAATAATTCTGTTTGAATATGACGAATGTTTGTGTACCTTTTATATCAGCCTAGTGCACCTGCCTAAACTTTGCGCAATTCAATACTAAAAGCTTCATATCATATTACAACGTTGAAGAGAAGCCAGAGACGAGTAAATTTTTGACTGCGCTTAAAATTTACAGAGAATCGTAAAAAAACATGTTCCATATATTTCAACACAAAATTATAACTCATCAGAAAGATCAATGACAATGTTTTTTTTATTTCTTTGTGTTTAAAATTCAGACACACCTACACAATCTGTTCCAGCATGTCAAAGCAACGATCAGATAAAAGTAGCCACGGTGTTTGATAAATATCCTTGACGACCTATACAGATCTAAATCTTAAATTTCCGCCCCCAAGAAAAGAGTTCAGGGCCAAGAGGTTTTAGAGTCGTGCACTAATACGCGTAAAAAAACTAACATTCTTTTGGGAAGGGCTCAATTGCTAAGAGTAAATAGCTCCATCATTTTTAACCGAAAAAAGTACTAAAGTAGGAGAGAATTTGTAGTGTTTGGAACTCTCACATTCCGACATTTGGATGTAATATTTATATTTGATCCAGATCACCGCATATTGTAAGAATTGAAGCCGTGTTAGACACGGAGTCTGTCAGTGTGATTGTGTGTACTTCGAAACTCTGGAACCTTGAACGTTGTTTAATTGTTTTTCAAATAATTGGAGTTATTACGATGACAAAGACAATCGATGACACGCGTCCAGCGCGACATACTTCCTTCCCAATGCCCACACCTCGCCTACGTAAAGAGATTTTAAATTTCAAAGGTCAATTTTTTTTTCACGATTGATCTGTCGTGCGGAAACATTGTGTTGGCGTGTGACGTCGATACGCATGAATTGGATTGTGTCGCTTTTGCAAACATCACATTTCAAGGAAAACAGAAAGTGAATTCTCAAGTATTCTTATTTCTTTGTGAATGTTTTAAAACATGCAAGTCTTGATGAGTTAAGAGGGTGTTTTGTATTTTGTGCGTTTTAATTCAAATAATACAATGAGCGCGAATTATGTTAATTAGCCTTAGCAACCAGCGTGAAGGAAACCACGCATTTATAAACTTACGTTGTTGCGCATGGCCCACGCATCCGAATCAAATCAGATTATCCCAAGAGTATGTCAAAGTTGTGATATTAAAATAACACAGTCATTGGCTCTTACATGGACATAACAAAACTCCAAATTCTTCATGTGACTAGAATAGGATATTTCATGAAACGAAATATGAAAGTACATGAGAAAACACTGCTCTTAATTAATTATAAAATAATTTGTGTTTTGCCAAGATTAATAATCAATAAGGCATTGACAATGAAGTTAATTTATTCATACATCATCTTATTACTTACATCACTAATTGAGTAATAATGAGTAATTAACTCACTAATGACTAATTAACTCACTAATTAATCATGCCATTAATTATCTCATTAATTAACGTACTAATTATTTATCTTATTGATTATTTCTTTAATTATCTCATTATTATCTTATTCATTAGATATTTAATTATAACCCATTAATGATCTCACTAATAAATCATCTCATTAATTAACTCAATGATTAATTATCTCATTAATTATCTTAATTAAATCAATATTGATTAACCTACTAATTGACCATTCATTTTGCTTCACTTGTATTTCTCTTCGTTCAGGTGACGTTGGCTGTAAATTCCAAGTGAACATGGTGAACATTCCTTACGGTGCATCATGCCTTACTATCACATTCATTTCATTTGAACGTTACTGTGCGATATGCAGACCAATGGACCTGGTAGATTGTGTCAAAGAGAGGCTAAAATACATCATTCCATTAATATGGCTGCTTGCTATCGCAATCTACTTTCCAACTTTGTATTTCTGTGGCAAGAACCTGATGAGCGAAGGAGATCAACTCAGTTGTGATTGTACGTATCGTTGGCCAAGTCTCAAAGCAAAGAATATTTATGGAGTTGGCATCGTTGTAGTTTTGTATGTCGTACCGTTCACAGTTGCGTCGTGTTTTTATTCCGTCGTTATTCGTAGATTAAAACAAGTATGTTATTTTATCATTTAATCGTTTTACACTCATAGTTGATGCATCAACAACATGTCAACAGGATGTGTTCGCAATGCTTGTTTCAAGCTTGTTGACAACTTGCTACAAGGTTGTTGAGCTCAACAGACTTGTTACAAGTTGTTCCAACAACTTGTTATCGTCCTGCAATTCAACAATTTGTCAACAAGTTGTAAGTGACAACCTCGTGGCAACTTGATAAAATAACAGCATTGTTACAACTTGTTGACAAGCTTGCTGCCAGCCTGTTGCGAACACATCGATCTTGTTGACAAGTTGTGAGATTTTTACGTGTGTAGTTCAGTGCTTGTTATCTCAATATTCTATTTTCATTCCAGGTGATCCCTGGGGAAAACCAAGGCAATACTGCAGTTTACAGATCACGACAAGGAGTCGTTAGAATGGTCATGGTTACTCTCATCGTATTTTTTGTTGCTTGGACGCCTTATAATATCCTATATACACTGAAAAGACTGGAAGTTGACTATCGCAGTGTCTACCCGTAAGTTTTTAAGTGTAGTTTCGTTGAAATTCCATAAAAATTGAGAATACAAGGATTCAGATTAGATGATGATTGATGGGATTGATTTATTTTGTAGATATGTGTGGTATCCCTCGTTCCTGATTGCTACAATACATTGTGTCTGTAATCCAATCATTTATTGTCTCCTTGGCAATAATTTCCGCAAAGCATTCAAGTCAATAATATGTTGTCAAAATTGTCGCGTTCCTGACTTCATTCAAGAGTTTCTGAGTTCTACTACGAGAACAACAACGCGTGCAACACGACAAGTTCATACAAATGAAATGCAGATAGAAACTTGATTTTAGTTGACTGCAAAAAATAAAATGGAATTATGACATACAATCTGTGAATCTGATGTAATATATTTAGAATTTGCACATGATTTCAAAACGATTTATAATATTTTCCGCGTTTTTTGCCACGAAATCAAACTATAGTGGGATGTTTTTCTATTTGCTGATTATTTGAAGTCGGAATTGATGTTCATATGGAAGCTTCTCCTGTTTCTGTATTAGTTTACATTTGGCCTCGTATTACGGGAACCTCCCGATGGTAAAGAAGCTGTGGAAACCAAAGAAGAATTACCTTCAACAACTTCGGATGTTCATGGATTTCGGAGTTGGAAAGTTTAGCTGAATCATGGAACATTGAAACAAATGGAAGAACTCGTCAATATACGAGTGACGTCGATGCGCAACTCCTTTGGGCGCCGCTCTACAAAATCCTGTCGTCCCCAGTCAACAATAAGGATAAAAAGGTGTCAAAGGCGGTTTATGAGCGATTTTTACAGGTCTAGCTATGATAGTACATCTCTCTAGACACAAATATCAGAATATTTGTATCTTTGAACGACTGTTGGTGGGGGGGGGGGAGGGGGGACTTTTAAGTTTAGGTTAGGGAGTACGGTCCCCTTAGCGCAAAGTTGCGTCACTGACTCAACGCATTGTATACAGTGGCGGGGTAGTTACATGCAAAGCTAGTGAAAATTTAATATTTCGCCCTCATTTCATAAAACGATTGTTTAGCTAACTGAATAATTATACTTTTAAAAATTTGAATATATGTTGTTTTTTTGTAAGTACAGATCTTGCATTCTTGCCATGCAATTGCCATTAACACAGACAATATATTACTGTATATCATGCAGGCATATTTTATATAAATAATATATACACATCACCAATTTTTCTCAGCCTTTGAACTCAGTGGACAAATATATGAAATTTATTTATATTACAACGCTCTACATATTTTGGGATAAAGTTATTTTAGATCAAATTAGCATGCAACAGAGGTAAAGGCTTTTCTTGCCTCGTGCATAGACGGCAGTTCTTCCCAAGTATAATGAGTGAAACTAAATCTTTCTACAGAATTTAGAATGTTTTCTTTCTCATCTTCTCCACCCATAACAATTATGGTATTGTCAACGACAGCTGCAGTACATGCTGATCTCTTGTATATCATGGGAGGTAACCAGTGGCTCTTCTGACTCTTAATATTGTAAATTATGACAGTGTTTAACGCCATAAAGTCTCTTTCCTGCCCACCAATTACAATAACATTATCAGCCCATTTCACTGTAGCCACATTTTGTACTGGATAGGGCAAGGGTGCTAACTCTTCACATTTATTTTTCTTAATATCATACATAAGAACATTATTAATGCATCGGGTCTTACGTCCTCCTATAATTACAATCTTATCACCAAATAATTCAACAGCATGCAAGCCCATACTCCGTGGCATTTTAGTCAACATTTTAATGGTATAAGGGTGAACAAGAGACACTTCTGAGATATTCGCGGAGTAGGAATCATCAGTAATACCTCCTACGACTATCAAACTATCATTATAAACAACAGTACTGAAACCTGACAATTTTCCGGAGAGTTTGGCAGGAAAATTTTTCCAGGTTGACAACGGAGAAATTTGGTTAGCATTCTGCAGTGCTTCCATTGAATTGGTTCGAAGTGGTCGACGGTTCGATTTGGTCCAGCCACCAGAAACGATAATCTGGTTGTTGTAAACAAATGCTGATGCACTCTTGCGACATTCTTTCATCGGTTGTAGATAACTCCATGTTCTTCTTGATGAATCGAACAGTTCTACGGAATTTAACTGACTGGAATCTTTATTCCAACCTCCAGCTACAACCACTTTGAACTTCGTGTCTTCAAATTCATGCCTCGATAATTTTTCTTGTTGCTTTTCCATGCTCTCGAATTTGTTCTGAATTGCGAATTTGTCCTGAATATCGTCAAGTTTCTTGTTCATTTCTGCTAACGTAGTCTTCACTGTATCCATCTCTTGTTGTAGCTCCGCGCAATTATGGCACTTCACCCTTCGTTGTTCGCATACAGCTGACTCGTGATGAACTAAATCTCGTTGATTCACTACAAGTTCGCATCCTGCGTTGGAGCAGACAACAGGAGCAAACCCGCACTCCTTGAGATGATTCTCGAGATCTCCCAACTCTATCAAGACTACGCAACCTCGGTCGTAAAAGTCGCAACGAATCGTCAACTCACAGAGAAAATTCGTTACGGCTCGAGGGGCTTGCGTCAACGTATCGATTCTGAGCTTTTGCATACATGTCGGGCATGTTTGAGAGTTCGTCAGATGTCTGGTTATACAAGCACGGCAGAATAGATGTTGATTTTCACGGCACATAACTGGATCTCGAAGAACGTTTGTGCAGATAATGCAGTGAAAGTTCTGACTGACGGCTTGTTCAAATCTTTCCTCTTCAAAACCATATATTGCTGTTGGGCTTCATGATATGCCGCCATAAAAGACGCCATTTGTTGTTTACCAGAGATGAACGACAGTCTTTCTTAATATGGCTTTCCCATTTTCCGTTCAAGTCTTCAGATGACGAAACTGCAGCTACATTGTTTTAGAGTATTGTTGAATGTCTTTGATATTTATGAGTTACAACACAGAACAAACCAAAGTCAGTGTCCAGTAATACTAATTTCTAAATACCGTGGTACTAAACCGTGACCAAACTGAAGCGAGGTCGTGACCTTACAGTCCTGCGGTAAATATGCAGTAACTTGGTCCAATGTTGCTTCTTGAAAAGTTTCTTCATGAAAAGTTTTGGGTATTATTTGTATACAGAGTTTGTATATCCGATACAACACAGACGCGGATGTTGTAAATGACTTGTGACAGTCTTGATGAGAACATTCGGATTCTTCGGGTTCCAGCTATGGTAGTATATTTCTCCGGCTAGACACAAACAACAGAATATTTGTATCTCTGAAAAACTGTACTGTGCAATGTTTTGTTTATTTTTTGCATTTGTTTACCAATCCTTAAACAAAAGTATAGCCAAATTTAAATGACGCTAGGGTTGTGCACCTATCCCAAGGTTGGGGGGGGGGTCGGGGGAACTTTTAGGTTTAGGTTACGGTCCCCATAGCAAAAAGTTGCGTCATTGAATGGCAGGGTTAGTTACATGCAATGCTAGTGAAATTTTAATATTTCACCGTTATTTCATAAAGATTGTTTAGCTAACTGAATAATTATACTTTTGGAAATTTCAATGTGTGTTGTTTTTTTAGTATAGATCTTCCCATGCACTTGCCACTAACTCAAACAATATAAATCACGCAAGTTTTATATCAATAATATATGCACATCACCAATTTTTTTCAGAACTTAGTGGACAAATATATGAAATTTATTTAAGCAAATATATTACAACGCTCTACATATTTTAGGATAAAGTTATTTTAGATCAAATTAGCATACAACAGAGATAGCGTATCGTCGTGCCTCATGCATAGACGGCAGTTCTTCCCAAGTATAATAAGTAAAACTAAATCTTTCTACAGAATTTAGAATGTTTCTTTTCTCATCTTGTCCACCCATAACAATTATGGTATTGTGACTATTGTCAACAACAGCTGCAGTACATCCTGATCTCTTATATATCATGGGAGGTAGCCAGTGGCTCTGCTGAGTCTTGACATTGTAAATTATGACAGTGTTAAATGGCACGAAGAGGTTTTCCTGCCCACCAATTACAATAACATTATCAGCCCATTTCACTGTGGCCATATTTTGTACTGGATAGGGCAAGGGTGCTAACTCTTCACATTTATTCTTCTTAATATCATACATAAGGACATTATTAATGCTTTGGGTCGTATGTCCTCCTATAATTACAATCTTATCACCAAATAATTCAACAGCATGCATGGATATGCCCTGAAGCATTTTAGTCAACATTTTAATGGCATAAGGGTGAACAAGAGACACTTCTGAGATATTCCCGGAGTAAAAGCTTCCATCAAAACCTCCTACGACTATCAGACTATCATTATAAACAACAGTACTGAAACCTGACAATTTTCCAGAGAGTTTGGCAGGGAAATTGTTCCAGGTTGACAACGAAGAAATTTGGTTAGCATTCTGCAGTGCTTCCATTAAATTGGTTTGAAGTGATCGACCGTTCGATTTGGTCCAGCCACCAGAAACGATAATCTGCTTGTTGTAAACAAACGCTGATGCATTTTCGCGACATTCTTTCATCGGTTGTAGATAACTCCATGTTCCTTTTGATGAATCGAACAGTTCTACGGAATTTAACTCACGGGAATCTTTATTCCAACCTCCAGCTACAACAACCACTCTGGACTTCGTGTCTTCAAATTTATGCCTCGATAATTTTTCTTGTTGCTTTTCCATGCTCTCGAATTTGTCCTGAATTGCTTTAAAGTTGTCGTCAAGTTTCTCGTTCATTTCTGCCAACGTAGTCTTCACTGTATCCATCTCTTGTCGTAGCTCTGCGCAATTATGGCACTTCACCCTTCGTTGTTCGCATACAGCAGACTCGATAAGATTACGCAACCTCGGTCGTAAAAGTCGCAACGAATCTTCAACTCACAGAGAAAATTCGTTACGGCTCGAGGGGCTTGCGTCAACGTATCGATTCTGAGCTTTTGCATACATGTCGGGCATGTTTGAGAGTTCGTCAGATGTCTGGTGATACAAGCACGGCAGAATAGATGTTGATTTTCACGGCACATCACTGGGTCTCGAAGAACGTTTGTGCAGATAATGCAGTGAAAGTTCTGACTGACGGCTTGTTCAAATCTTTCCTCTTCAAAACCATATTGCTGTTGGGCTTCATGATATGCCGCCATAAAAGACGCCATTTATTGTTCAACAGAGATGAACGACAGTCTTTCCGCTCAATATGTCTTTCCCATTTTCCCTTCAACTCTTCAGATGACGAAACTACAGCTACATTGTTTTAGAGTATTGTTGAATGTCTTTGATATCTACGAGTTAAAATACACAACAAACCAAAGTGCTCAGTATATGAGTCGCAATACAGAAATTGTG